GACAGATAATATGTAGAAAAATAAAACATAAAAACAGCTGCATTTGTATCATATTCTAGGTGAGGCTGACTACTATTTGAACGCCCCTCGTAGTTATACCCGTTAGAACACCCACCCACCTCTCCGACTCTACATGCATGCAAGTGTGTTAGATATACCCGTTAGAAACCCACCCCACTTTATATGTATACATATCAAAACCTCAAAAGATATTTGCGAAAAGACATGATACAGAGGACAGTTTATATCGATTATATATCAGGACGAATATCATTTTCGTCATTTAGCTAAGATTTGTCAATTCATTCTTGGGTTATCGCGCTAACAATCTTTATATTGGCAAAACCCTCAGATTTTTGCTGAGACCTTGAAAATTATCTCAAGGTCACTCCATTTCACTTGTGTCGGTGAATCTCACCAATATACCTTGGTACCAAGCTTGAACAAAATCCATCATTTCTTTCTTGAGTTATCGCCCTAACAAGCTTATTTGATGTATGAAATGCAACGAAAAACAAACACCCGCGTATTTACGAGTGATTATAACTGTTACATGTATTACAATTTACGTAAATATTAATTACATTTTACCGCAACGAAAAGTATTACAATTTACGTCAATTTTTATTACAATTTGCGTATTACAATTTACGTCAATTTTTATTACAATTTACGTTTTTATTACAATTTACGTCAAGTTTATTACAATTTGCTGCAAGTATTACAATTTGCGTTTTTATTACAATTTACGTCGTAACAAAGCGCCACCTCAGAAAAGAGTGAGTGAGTTTGGCTTCACATGTTGTACCCATTTGGGGAATCGAAGCTGGGTCTTCGGCGTGACGACGGAACGCTTTAACCACTAGGCTACCCCACCGCCCCACTCTAGAAAAAAAAATCATTCAATATTTGAGAATGTGAAGAGCATTGCAGAAACGTACAGAGGTAGCAATGTTATCAGTGCCCACACGTTTTTGCCTAATGGGACACTGTTATTGTACAGGTGACCAAAATCTGAACGTCAAACATGTTTTCATGTATGCAAAAGAGTATTTGTTTGTACAATTTTTACAACGATTGTGTAATGATGACTGTAAATCATAATGAATATGTATTAAATAATAACTGCTTTTATACTTACGGGAAAAAAACTAACTGTGCCTTTTTTATGTTATGCCATTTTTAATGCAAAAAGATAATAACACGATTTGTGGTGTTTTTCTTAATCACTGTGTAAATGTTGACAGGATAACATCGAAATCTGTATGATTTGACACAAGGCATCGTGACACGCTCTTGAAGAGATGTGGTGTCAAAAGTCAGTTCACAAATTCAGTATCGTGTGTGTCCACCATTGGTATTGATGCAGACTTGACAACGACTACGCATAGACGTCACGAAGCAATTGAAGAAAACATGGGGAATGTTGTTCCATGTCCGTCCATCGCGTGACCCAATTCAGCTAACGTCAATGGCTGATACTGGGCTTGACAGAATCGTCCTTCAAGTCCACCTCAAGCTTACTCGAGGACAAGTCCGGAGAGACAACTGGCCAGGGGCGTACCGGAATGTTCTGCTGTTTCATGTGGACGGACATCATCTTGCTGAAGCGTGAACTTACGTCTCTGTCCTTGAATAAGCGGCTGTACACGAGGCCCACTGATCTCATGCCTGTATCGCAGACCTGTTAGTTTGCCATTGACAATGACAAGTTGTGTCCGACCATGGGATGTGATGGCTCCCCATACCACAAACCCCGCCACCAAACTGTTGACGTTGAACAGCTCACACGTCAGGATTCTGTTCACCTCGCCGCCTGTACACCTTGCCCTGCCATCTGAGCTGTCCAGATGAAATTCTGACTCGTCAGTGAAGAAAACACCACCCCAACCATGTCTCCCGTACTGTAGATGCTCGTCAGTGAAAACACCACCCCAAACTGTAGATGCTGTCTGCATCAGTCAAGACGTGTTTGTCAGTGAAGAAAACACCACCCCAACCCTGTCTCCTGTACTGTAGATGCTGTCTGCATCAGTCAAGACGTGTTTGTCAGTGAAGAAAACACCACCCCAACCCTGTCTCCTGTACTGTAGATGCTGTCTGCATCAGTCAAGACGTGTTTGTCAGTGAAGAAAACACCACCCCAACCCTGTCTCCTGTACTGTAGATGCTGTCTGCATCAGTCAAGACGTGTTTGTCAGTGAAGAAAACACCACCCCAACCCTGTCTCCTGTACTGTAGATGCTGTCTGCATCAGTCAAGACGTGTTTGTCAGTGAAGAAAACACCACCCCAACCCTGTCTCCTGTAGATGCTGTGCAGATCAAGACGCTGTTTGTCAGTGCACCAGTCTCCTGTACTGTAGAGCATCAGTCAAGACGTGTTTGTCAGTGAAGAAAACACCACCCCAACCCTGTCTCCTGTACTGTAGATGCTGTCTGCATCAGTCAAGACGTGTTTGTCAGTGAAGAAAACACCACCCCAACCCTGTCTCCTGTACTGTAGATGCTGTCTGCATCAGTCAAGACGTGTTTGTCAGTGAAGAAAACACCACCCCAACCCTGTCTCCTGTACTGTAGATGCTGTCTGCATCAGTCAAGACGTGTTTGTCAGTGAAGAAAACACCACCCCAACCCTGTCTCCTGTCTGCATCAGTCAAGACGTGTTTGTCAGTGAAGAAAACACCACCCCAACCTGTACTGTAGATGCTGTCTGCATCTGTTCAGTGAAGAAAACACCACCCCAACCCTGTCTCCTGTACTGTAGATGCTGTCTGCATCAGTCAAGACGTGTTTGTCAGTGACGTTGTACACAGCACAATTGGGCGTATTGCAGGCCGTCGGGGCAGGATGTTTTGCTCCCTCAGTCGGTTCCTTACAGTCCTGGAATTGATTGGACGTAAGCCAGGAATGGTCCGAGCAGTCAAACTGTAAGTCTGGAATCGATTCCTTAGATGGGTCAGCCGAATGTGGTTGTTCTGCTGATGTGACGTCACGCGTGGTCCGAGGCAAACTCCCGTGTTCTCATTAATCTGAAAATGTCTCCACAGAGATGGACACAAAAATGTCTTGCCACTTCATTTTGGGTCAATCCAGTCTCCAGCATACCTATGGTGCGGAGACGCTCATTTTCGGTAAGCCGTGACAAGACGTACGCGCAGTTCAGATTGAAATTAACGTGTTTTCCACAACATTCAGAGTCTAGAGAATACTCAACCGTTCTTCAATTTTCAATATCAGGTTTGTGTTGAAAAGCGTGCAAAAACTGAGTAAGTACATTGTACACAAAGTGCACGTGTCACGCACGACACCTTACGTCAAATCTCATGCAAAGTGCTTTGCTACATGTCTATTTAGCGTTATTCATAACTTTTCAAATTAACTTTTATTTTATGCAATCTTATGTTGTGCTCAGTTACCTTTCTTCCGTTAGTATATATACTCGCCGTAGAACCTATATTTTTAATCTTCACAAATGGCACCAGAGTCGACAACAGCAGATTAAGTGGCGGACAGCCTCTAGCACTATCTGTGAAATATATCAAGGAATATCACGTTGGTCCATTACAATGTAATATAAGTTAAGAAAGCCAAGAAAGACCGATTTATGGAATAGGGAATTTTAATTAGTGTAATGTTAAAACGATTTGTCTTCTCGTTTGTATTGTAGCTCGTTTCGAGTAATGGCTTTGTATGTCTGAACTTCAAATTAATATCTCCCACGTTACCCATTAGCCAGTTGATACAGACAGAAATTAATTCATCTTAATGGCATCTTTTACTAGCTAAACGTTATTTCCAAACGAAGCTTGGTGTAAAATTCGACCACTTGAATTAATTCAGATCCAATTATATGAATTCCAAATTGCGTGCTGCTAGATGTCCGAAAACAATCAGAAAAACTGAACCGTATCACAATAAGATGTATTAACTTCTGAATAGTTGATTCAAGACATTAAAACTATGTGTTGTAATACAAATCTATTTCCCAGAAGTGTCCCTTTACTTTTGTATCGTAATCTCTGTACTTCTGTTTAGCAGTCGTAATTCTCAATTATTTTCTGAATTTTCCGGACAATCACTTGATTGTCTGGTTTGTTTACAGGCCTCCGTTGCGGGGCAGGAGTACTGCTATGCAGCGTTAGGCAAAACCTACTTCCATTTTAATTTTGTTATTGGTGGATGTTACCGCTAGGGCAGGACAAGCTTACCCTTTTGGCCAATAACTGGTGTCATCACTGATATTCATATGAGTAATTATATAAGTGAGTGAGTTTAGTTTTACGCCGCTTATTAGCAATATTCTAGCAATATCACGGCGGGGACCCAGAAATGGGCTTCATACATTGTACAAATGTGGGGAATCGAACCCAGCTCCACGGCATGACGGGCGAACGCTTTAACCACTAGGCTACCCTACCGTCCATCCATTCATATGATTTTCACAGCAATTTCCCCCTACACCAAACGGAATTTGTTTCCGGTTGTAGTAAAGATTGGGTATTCTTTTGCAATGATGTTCTACATGTAAAATATCACAACATCGTTTTCTGTTGTTGATTAACACCACAGTTTAAAATTCAAGCTGTATGACGACGGCATATCAATAATGAGTGAGTGAGTTTAGTTCTACGCCGTAGCCAGCAGTATTCCAGTATATGGCGGCGGTCTGTGAATAATCGAGTCTGGACTGGACAATCGAGTGATCAGCATCATCGCTGACATGCGGACAGACACTATTCTTGTGAAAAGGTTGAGGATGCACGAGTGATCGGTTGGATTCCACAGTATTCCTGCTCGTCGTGCGACTGCATTGATGGTGGTTCGATGCCAAGAAAATAACCCTATGATGCGCTATTGCTCATAACATCGACCACTGTATTGTTTGGTGGAGATCATAAACATACCAGGAGCGCCGGACAGACAAACGCAGTGCAACAGGACCAGCCATGGCAGATGGTCGTTCATTGCCACTGCACACAATGACAACAGAAAAGGGTCATACGCTGTTGTTCCTTAACATATTTTATTTACATCAAACGCATTAAAACTGGTTCATAGCATAACAAACGACTACATATGGACATGAAATGAACGTCAATAAACAAATGAACATGGACAAAACGCCATAGAGGACCTTATACATATTCTAAATGTTCTAACAAATGTAATAAATTCTAAAGAAAATATCACGATAGCGTTTTCGCTTCTTAATCCCGTTTAAGATGCGAATACATCACATTTGTGACACAGGTACGAATGACCTATGACGTCAAATATTTCCTAAATGTTCCACAATCACAGTTAATGAATTTCGTAATAATGAAAAGGTTTGAAAGATATCATGTAAGCTGATCTGTTTTTCTCAGGCACGAACTGGACACTTGCTAGTGATATGATATCTACGATTTACTCCAAGTAAGATCCTGCTAACTCACGGGTTTCGCCGAAGTCGTATATCTCCATGACCTGGTCAATTTCGGCTTCTCCCCGACGTTAAGTAGAATGGGGCTGAGTGAGATGGCTTCATGGACATTTTGAATTCACCTGGACAGACATGGTATGATGGGACATGACTGTAGGGGAAGCGTTAGTAAAAGGCCTGGGTCCCGTTTCAGAACGCTATCGTAGCGCTAGAACCGTAAGCCTATGTTACAGTATAGGAGGTACGACAGTCGCAGCGCTATGATAGCTTTGTGAAACGGGGTCCGGATGTCTGAGAACAGCACATGACAATTTGCACAAATCGACACTGTCCTTCAACATCGTGTACATGGATGTGCTTAAAAGCAGGCATTGATTAAGAAGAAACACAAATTCAGGTTGATGATGAATATATAGATACTCACATTCTTGCACAATATTTTGTTAACTTCAAATTCAATATATTTAAAATAGGGTTTGACCGAATCCTGCGGTAATGCATGTACAGTTCCGAGGCCGGAGGTGAAGCAAATGTTTCCTTTTTATCTTGACAAAGAACCGTCAGGAGTTTCCTATCGTTTAAGAGCACAGAAAAAATATCTGTTGCGAACGAATAGCATGCTCGTGAAAAGCGAACTGTTCACTGTGTATGTTCCATATTACTAACAGACACATGTCAGTGCACTTGGGGCTTCAGGGAATTTGTAGTATTTTGGTTGAAGAATATTAAAATTTTGCTTCATAGACCAAAAAGGACCACGTTCATTCGATGAAGCCATTTAGCTGTTTAATTACGTGTATTTACATCACATTCAGCACACGTTTTCTCGTCCACGTTGCTCATGAGACCCCAGTGAACGGGTCAGCCTACCAGCCACGTATTGTTTGTACCCAGAGCATTCCTAATTAAGTCTGCAAGATGGTCTTGTTCAAAATTAAAAACATCCACCACAGATGCCCGTGTAGGCAGGACCGGTCGTTAGACTGGAATCTCTGCTTTCGGAAGGATTACTGTTATGGACATTTCAAAATCAATAAAGCGATTATTAAACACAACTGTTATGGACATTTCAAAATCAATAAAGCGATTATTAAACACAACTGTTATGGACATTTCAAAATCAATAAAGCGATTATTAAACACAACTGTTATGGACATTTCAAAATCAATAAAGCGATTATTAAACACAACTGTTATGGACATTTCAAAATCAATAAAGCGATTATTAAACACAACTGTTTCTCATATTCAGAGACGCATTAAACCGATGAGTCCTGATCGAGATGATTTGTCCGGATTAACAAGGTTAGAGGAACAGTCCGGATTAACAAGGTTCGAAAAACAATGTGTCCAGGTTGTGACAGAATACACAAGTTCCCAGAATTCAATCCTATGAAAAATAGGAGATAACGTTGAAAAGAATAACGGTAATATAGCACTGCAATCAATAGAGAAATTTGTATAGATACCGACACGAATTGATTGGTTTTTTTATTTATGATCAGGAACGATATACCTGTGTCACATGTTTTACAAAAACGATGTTCGCTGTACAGAGAAAAGTGTTCCTCTATTCAATGAAACAAATATGTGTCGTCGAAAATATCATGTGATTCATGGAGATCATGGAGTCCAGATGATTATATGAATCATGAGTCTCGATGATCATATAAGTCTGGATGATATAAATATGATCATTTGATATTAAGATGATCATAAGAATCAAACTGATGTTTTATATGCTTTATTTATACATATGTATGTAGTTTCTGCCCAAAATGCTTACACTGTTTATTGACAGTGGATATGTTTACCAATAAACAAAAGATATAAGATACAACACATTTTGTTCTGGCAACTGATAAAAACAATCAAAGATCCTGATGTTTTTCACCCGCCTATGCAGCAAACATTGGAATATATATATACCTGTATTCTTTGACGTATTGTTTCATAGTTTAACTTAGATCATGTCTGTTTCCAGTTTTCGGGTTATATATTACCGAGTGAGTGAGTGAGATTTGAACGAAATTTCAGCTAAAGCACAGGGTGTCAGCTTTATGGGAAATGAAGCCCAGTTGCTTTTGTCGTTTATGTTAATGTTTAATCACTTAGTAACACTCACTGCATGGGCAATGTGTGATTATAATCAAGGTAAATGTAAGATTTGAGCCTACGACAATCGGAACCTGGCGCGGCTAAGGGAGGTAACTCCGTAAGCTGAGTCGCCTTTGACCAATAGGTCAATGGGTCATACCCGATATACCATACATATTTACATGTCAATTTTACTCTTCATACGTGTCATTCGGTAAATTGTGTAGCGTTTTAAATGACCCCAACGTACACAGATAAACCATCGGACACGAATGATGAGAAATGAGCTTTGTGTGCATTCAATCTGTTCAACATACCAGTACCATTGTGTTCCATAGCCACCAGATCCGCTTGCTGTAGGTTCAAATCCCAGATTTGCTCCCATTACAATCCAAGTTCAACAACATCACATTTTTGTCGTGGGTGTCACATAAATGGTAAATTTGACATTGGTTTCTTTGGTTTCAATCATCATGTAACCAACATACATTGGTGTATGTTGTTCACTCGGTAGGCATTTATTTTCTGATGCTTTCTGGCTGCGTCTTGTCTTCAGATGATCTGATATCTAAGTTGTCATGCAAAGAAGGTCAAATTCGATTAAACATAGTTAATATCATTACAAATACCTTCATGGAGATGAATATGTAGACTAAATGATACAAAATATTATCACTCATTAATTCATCTGGTGATTCCTCTGTTTTAATGAATGACATTATGGAATAGTGCTTACTTTTGATTTTGATGTCAAACAATGATTCCCCTGTACATGTCGACGTCAGGCTTATATAACGCACAATCTTCTCTGTCTGTGATCGACAGACGGAATCAATGCTATCATTGCTCGTACTTTACATAGCGTTACATCTCACATTCCAAGGTACAGTTACCTACAATATTTAATAGTGACGCACACCTGTGCAGACCTGCAGTTGTGTTGGTCTTCCATGAACACTCTCGTAGTTCTTGGCACACATTCGGTTTCCATCTTTTGTATTGTCTGTAATTCGACAACATAAACGTACATTCCAGTGGATACTTGAATGAGGCGTTTTTCCAGTTCCAGTGTATTTTAGAACCCGCATCTCAGTTGCAGGGTTGAATATCCACAACAAAAACACAATTATTTTAAGTAGAAACACTTCTAACCTGCCTTTGACAGACCTGTCCTCTAGTAGTTTTGTATCCCGTTTGGCCACATGCGTGGAGTACACTCAATATCTTTCACAACTTATATGAAGATGCAGTTTCAAACTGTTTGGGCGATCATCGCTCTTTTGTTCACGTTGGTGCTGCTCCCAAGCTCCGTTCATTGTTTAACTCTTGATTTGTCTTTAGACGCATTGGGATACACTTTGTGTTCTTGTAGTTGTTTTCTTTGCTTTTTCGGCGAATCGTGAATATATTTTGTGTGTTTGCTTTAGCTGTAACTGTCGTCGTTGATAAAAGCTTCGCTCTTTTCTGAAAGTGTTCTTGTAACAACCGATAGCCCGTGTGAGCATTATATCTACGGTTGGTATCCCAAAGTTGTTCACGACGCCTAGCAATGTTCGACATTTGGCAATGACCATTCACATCTCCACAATTTGTTATTGTTTATAATCCTCTCCTCAGTGTAACTGTTGTTGTTCATTAACGCAACAGTCGTGTACCTTGTAATCCGATCGCTTCAAAGATGGTTCCTCTTCCCAGAAATGACGAGTCTAAGGATTCAGCACTTGTTGATCCCTGGCTCTAGAACCCTTTCAGGTGTCATCTATAATTCTACAGGGCTTCGCCTTTTCACAAAACAACAAAACTACTAGGGTTTTGTTATACTTCGAGCACAAATTAATATGGTCCCACGCGTGGACGACATTATCACTCTTTCACGTTGTTATGGTAACTGCTGTGCGCTACATCGAAGAAATGTACATACACTGTTTCTATTACTAGTGGCACAGAATGAAGGTGATGCTATTCTCTTTATATTTATCTGAGTTGCTTCCCTTCGCCGCGCCAGGATGCGATGGCTATAATCCTTGATTTGTGAGCATTCGCATTCTAGTAATCAGCATACCTGCATGGCTTGCACCATCAACGTGTATTAGACACGGCATGATTTGACTGAAAACCTGGCACTCTCAAATAGATCCACGCAAAGTCGTACCTCCTACAAATAGTCACACACCACCACCGGTAAAGACGAGACGAATATCAGTGATCCTGTATTCAAGTTTCAGACTAATTCATGTTGTCCTTATTGAACGAAGAATAAAACTTTGGAGTCTCAAATGATATTTCCAATATTGGTCTGAAGCAAAGGACGAAGCTCCTACATAGTGTACCTCCAACAATAGTCTCGTACCATGATGAGACGAATATCAAAGATCATATATCCAAGTTTCAGACTAATTCATGTTGTTCTTATTAAACGATGAATAAAACTTTTGAGTCAAATGATATTTCCAATATGGCTCTGAAGCAACAATGAAGCTATAACATAGTGTCGTACCTCCAACAAATAGTCACGTACCATGATGAGACGAATATCAGAGATCCTCTATCCAAGTTTCAGACTATATCATGTTGTCCTTATTAAACGATAAATAAAACCTTTGAATCTCAAAAGACATTTCCAATATGGTTTTGACGCAAAAGGAGGAAGCTCCACGCACACGATGACGATGAAGCGCTGAAAACCACTACAGCATTAATTTTGGTAGAACAGTGTGGCACCAATGTCACACCTTGGAATTCTTCATGTATCTGGGTCCCAGCTGTGGGGACACCGATGTGTACAAGTAGTTTCTGTCGTACGTTTCCATAGGGATCTTGTCTCTCTTTGGGGACGGGCTTGACCTCGGGCTGTCGTTAAAGACGTACGTCCCGTTATCCGTCTCGTGGGACTCGTCCTTACAATGGGGATGGATGTAGTTGAGGCTAGTCGCCATGGTAGTGCCCCTGGGAAGGTCCAGTCGAGATCTGATAATCTTCAGTCTTGTGAAGCTCTTTCTTAAGTGGGACAGAACCTTGAGGAAACAAATGTTGTGGCATTAAATTCAGGATGCTTTGAAAGAATCAATCTGTGTGGAATTAGTTTAAGCCCTGCTAATGGTACCTATGTCTGAATTTGTTTCATAATATTAGATGTCATATGATATGAAAATATCGACATATATCTTGTAAACAGTCAAAGAAATAACTTCATCTTCTTCAATCAAGCATGTGCTATTATTACAAAGATTAATCTGTATTGGTACTTTGTAAAGGTTAATAGATGATATGAGACCCTAAGAGATTTATTGTTCGAGGAATCGTTAGATTATCATTGTAACGTGACCAAATTACATACATGAGACCAATTTGCCATTAAGAATATCGAATGTAAATATGAAATATTATAGATATTGCTACTCTAATTATTGACGTGCCAGACTACAAAAACTAAACAATGACTATATAACCATCGTTATAACGACTATTCTACTTTCTACTACACGGACACCACGTGGGATATATCCATTGTGGATATAGACCATGCTGTGCTGTGCTGTGCAGCTAAACCGAAATGATTACCAAATAACGTCACTTATGTCATGAGAGGCCGCGCTAAATGGAGGATACTGCTTTCGTGCAGAATAAAAGGAGGTAGCATTTGAGGATGTTTATACCATATGTTCTTGACCATTAAAGCAAAATGAAAGATATCCTTGTCGAACCATGGAATCCAGATGAAGTGTTTCTTTTTGTTTGTTTGTTTAACGCCACATTCAGCAATATTCCAGCTTTATGGCGTCGGTCTGTATATAAGACATCTGGGGCGGTATTCATAAAGCTTCTCAGAATGTTCTTAGTTTTTCACTTAAGTTTCCTCAAGAATTCTTAAGTTTAAGAAAAATTCTTAGTTTCTTTCTAAACCCAAACTAAGAAAAAATCTTAGCTAAAAACGTTCTTACAACTTAGAATTTTCGAAGAAGAAATCTAAAGCATGATGGGATCGTATGTACCAGTATTAGCGGTACGCGAATGACGTTTCGGAAAACCCCAAGTCTAATTTTAGTAACTGAAGCGAACTCTTCAGCCGAAAAGATAGGAAAACTGTAGCCAAAAGCCTCAATGTTACAAGCACATTGTATAGGGCTGATAAGGACCGGTTTCTAAAGGTAACAGCGTCGATTTCATCCGATATCAAGCCTGTCACAAACTCTATCCCTCCTCTGTCAAGACGATAACGTCGTAATAACTCTCTATCAGTGTACATATCCAAAACATTCTTCCTAGTGTGAAAGTTTGCGTTTCCATGAGCCGCCATATTGGATAACTAAGAATTTTCTTAACTAGTTAGGTGTCCTCATGAGGTTTCTTAAAGTTAAGAAGAAAACTAAGAACAAAATGACTTGTCTAAGTTTTTTCTTAAAGTTAAGAACGTTGTTATGGAAACTAAGAATTCTTAGTGGATTTAAGAATTCTTAACTCTTAAGAAAATTCTTATAAGCTTTATGAATACCGTCCCTGGCCCAGGCAATCCAGTGATCAACAACATAAGCATCGATCTGCGCAATTTAAATACGATGACATGTGTTAACCCAGTGAGCGAGCCTGGCCACCCAATGCTGTTAGTCGCCTCTAACGACAAGCATGGGTTACTGAAGACCGATTCTCACCCGGATGTCCCCGCTATAGTGAATTTGCAGACATCAAACAGACTGGGTTCACGTCGTATGTGAAGGAGATACATCAATTATATTTAATGCATGAGCTATGTACGCACATTCAATAATTCGCTTTCTAAAAAAATAGAATTTGTTGTATTTTCTTGCGACCTGGTGATTCACAAGCATGTTTACATGTTCAAACCCTACATCAGGACAAAGATGGCTGCCTTTCTATGGTGCTGCCTTTCGCTGATCTCCTAAGAACGCCATAGGGTTCGAATCCCGATCGGTTCTATGTTTGTTAGTATCATACTATATGCTTGCTGCTGATACCTGCATCATTTCGGGATATTCTCCCACATTAAGCAGACCAACCGTTGTATGACTAGAAAACCGTCCAAAATGGCGTCAAACCCAACTCCGGGACACACTCATTCATGATCACATGCTTATAATGACATAACGACATAATGACATATCATGCATCCCCCATGCTATAAGGGCTCACAGTTGCCACAACACAACATGACGTCCCATGCGTTATGTTAGCTGTACACATACTTTGGTTGAAAATATGAATATCTTCTTTCTTCAGCGTGTCTCGCAAGGTATTTAATACCTGAAATATTACCAACGTTCAAGGCCGTGTTTCAAAGTAAACTCATAACTAGGTTACCGTTGACGACTGATACCTAACGAATTTACATTTTAAAAATTGTCTCCGAGGATACAATAGAATATAACAGCAACTGACACCTTTGACGTAACTTAGAATGATAGTCGAATCATCGCCCTTAATGTAATCCGTAAACATAACTTGTTTGAGTGGCATTTTATAAAAACTTGTTCCATATTGTCCGTAAACATAGTTACATTAATCACATAACCATTTACCAGCACAGTCGTGGCAGCCGGTATAGCAATCATCTTGCCCTAACAACGAAACACTCATCTCTAGTCAAGCGCTAACCCATGGTTTATTTGTAGTATTAACGTATGCATTGTTAAAGTCTCGAACACTTAAACCTCTCAAAACCACACCACAAGAAACAGAAGGCACAGCGATTTACAGGACTGGATCGTATATACTAAACTTGTGTCAATAAGTTTATAAGACCTTAACAAGACCTTTTCCATAGCTTTATAAATCGGTTCAATTCCAAAAAAGGACAAGTATGTGATGGATGTATTAAACGGCGAATACTTTCAAATATATTCCTTCTTTTATAAGAATTACAAATGATTATAACGCTCATGCATGTGACATTCCTACTGTTGCTGAAATGCTGACGAATGCTGAAGAATGTAATGATGGCTCTGATAATGAAAGAAACGAAACAAAACTCGTGTAAAAAACCACATGCATTGGTGTGTGTACACAGTTGCCATGGACACGAAGGTCAAGGCTGTATGTCAATCTCACCTCGCTGTTGCAGAAGCAGAAAATCAGCGCAACGAAGAAGCCCTGAAGAATGATCCGACAGGTCATATAAGTACAAAACACAACAGGCAAATCAGGTCATTTTTCAAACTGAAAGCAACTTTAAAATTATTTACAATAAACTTGCAATTTTTAAAACATTTTGACTGACACTATACTAAAAAGGTTCCTAAGTTAGCATACAATCAATGTCACAAATGTAATGTAATAAGCTACAAATTTTGGCAGTCATTCGGGTAAAACTATTTTATCCAATGCTCTGTCTGAATGTCATGCTCATCACGCCGAAGACCCGGGTTCGATTGTCAACATGGGTACACTGTGTGAAGACCATTTCTTGTGTTCCCCGCCGTGATATTGCTAGAATATTGCTAAGAGCGGCGTAAAAATTACTCACCCACTCACTGAATTTTGAAAGTTAATGTTATCACTTGCAGTCTTTCTCTCAAGCATGTTAATGAGAAACAATACATACTCTAATGCGACGGAAAAGGACAACGCCATAGAGATATTTATATTCTTATACTATCACCAATCTTAAACTGAAACACAAAACAAAACACACGACAAAGGATATATTGCATCATGGTACCTTCTAAGGCTTAGATTGGCTTAGATTGACATAAAGACTAAACGTGTCTTGCTAATGTCCTAAGTGTTCTACATCTCTAGGTGTCCATATTCTTATATTATCACAACTCAAACGTGATATTGCATCATGCTACTTCTAAAGCTAATATTGACATAAAGACTAATATTGTCTTGCTAATGTCCTAGGTGTTCTACATCTCTGGGTACTCTTATATTCTTATACTGTCACCGTTCTGAGATTTTGAAAAGGTATATTACATCATGCCACTTCTGAGGCTTAGAATGTCATTAAGACTAAACGTGTCTTGCTAATGTCCTAAGTGTTCTACATCCGTGGGCAGATTGCTCACCTGTGAGTTGATAATAAAAACGGTAAACTTTTCATACTCCACAGCCCCTGGATTCCCGGGAGGAACTCTGTAAAGTGTAACGAACAACTGACCTCCGAACAGTGGAATCAACACAAACGTCGCCTTCAGCGCTCGCCTGGAATACAAATAGATGATTTATCGAATTATATACACATGTGCATTTATGTATAAAGAATCATATAAGGTCATGTCAACGTGACACCGAAATGTTTGAATAAGATTCGTGATTGTATCAAGTTCGTCTTCTTGCAGTTTACATCCTGGATTCGAACCAACGATATGCGGATCCTGACATGGACATAACTTTACGTACAGAGTTGCCAGTCCATATATTTTACCTCTTGACCACACGTGTCCACTTGGCAAGGAATATTATAGCAATGATGATGATGATGATGATAACGATCATATTGGTAAAAATACCATAACCCTTACCTGAAGTTACTTGGTTCATTAGGGTGAGACTGAAGTTGAGTCAATAGTATGCGCAATATATTGCATAGAAAGAAAAGATTTACCTGAAAACAGAAGACAAATAATAAGTTCATATTTTAAGTAATACAGGTTCGAGTTTACGAAATGTCTTTTTTCTGCTCAACACTGCATTGTTCCAGCTAAAAGGCTGTAGCCTAAAATATGTCCGACGAGACAAACGAGTGGCTGATTTTGTGAACTCCGACCCAGGCAGATGAAAGATCTGCACTTTACTGACATTCATACAAGGTGTTATTTAACAATGAGGATAGGTAATGTTCACAAGATGAACGAGGTTTTTCAGTGAAGCACAAATCTTGACTTGAAGTGAAACGTCGCCATATAACTAATATAATAATTCTGCCTTCGTGGTGTAGTGGTTAGAGCGTCCGCTCGGGGAGCGGAAGGTCGCGGGTTCCATCCCCTGCCGCGTCATACCAAAAGACGTTATAATATGGTACTTGTTGGTCCCTGCCTGGCGCTCGGCATTAACGGGTACAACAAGGACTTGTCGGCTCGAAGTCAGTATAATGTCTCTGAGAGGGTTATTCATGCTTAACTGCGGCATGGTATCTCAGTGGGCTAGTACAATCAGCCACACATACACACACATGCACGTCGTCATATGAGCGAAATATTCTTAAGTACGACGTAAACCCAATTTCACCTCACCTCACCCAATATATAATTTTGGATTACATCGATGCAAATATCAACCAAAGCGCTCCAGATTCCGATGGTCAGGTAAACAATAATCATCTAAGTAATGGGGAGTAGATTGATTAAATGTCTAGCCGATTGATATCTGTTTATCAGAGCACATGGTTATTGGATTGAAGTAGAAACCTAGCATATTTCCAGCAGAGGTGTGCTGTGATACCCAATGAACGTAAGCCACGGAAAATCTCGCCAATTTGTCAGAATGTCGGCGACGTGTCGATGTTATTCAATCCATTCTACTATACGTGTTTTTCATTTCATATATTGAATCTATTTCGAAATGAAATGAACAAGAATATGAGACCCTTAGACTCCTTAGACTCCAACAGCAAGTAATGATGAATTGTAACACAAGCCTTTTCAAAGCTTTGGGTATTTTCAAAGACCGAGATATTATGGGGAGATCCGTAGTGTTGTAGATAACAGTATCTCTCACGAAAGGGCATAGTGAAAGCGTCTCATTGTGATGGCGTGTGGATGAGTGCATGAATATGTTTTACGCCGCTTTAAGCACTCTTCAACATCTATACTCTTCAAAAAAGTAGGGGAACTGAACTTTCAATTTAGATAGGAAGTATAAGCGTTAACAAACTTTTCAAAGACAGACATCCTATGAACACCACCATTTCTCTTTATCACCACCCCTAAACACAACGCATTGGATGCACGTGCACAACGCAGTAGCCCCATACACGTGCATGGGGTGTCATTCTTGATTTTGACGGCCTTCATGAATGTCGATAAATCACTGTAGACCATAAATTTTGACAATCATCTTGCATCAAACAGTTGTTAGTGCTTGTTTCTAGCCGTTTTTGTATTTTGTATTGAAAATGCAAATCGTACACAGGCAAATTTCACGTCATATACCAATTATCTTACACGAGCGATTACTGTACGAACAACTATGGTCATAAGGAAGTGCAAGTGGTGATGAACCCTCAAAACATTCTATTCAACATTGATTGACTCCGAAATATCTCCCAATTGTTTCAATCGAAAAATATAAATGAAGTTCCCCAACTTTTTTTAAGAGTATATTACGGCGGCGACGCCAGAAAGAGGCCTGTGCACTGGACCAATAAGGGGAAACGTGTGAAAGAGTAAAATTGGTTTAATACCATTTCAAACAATATCTCAGGAACATACCGGCGTGTCGGCTGTAATAGTATAGATGTTTTCCCCTTCGGTGAGGTATGGTGCTGATACACCAGGAAACATAATCAGTGCCAGCCCAAATTCGAGCCAACGTTCACACGTTTCTGCTTTACCCAAGGGAGGCAACTGTGCACGGCTATTAGTAGTACCCTGTACAAATGAGCAATGAGATACCCTTTTCCATTTATCCCCTTATTAGGACCCGATTTGTTGCAAAACTGTTTCAGCAACTCACCACGAGACAAAGAAGATTGGGTGCGTATATGATCCATTCAGTGTGTCCCATACTCTTGGCCCAACAACTGTTAAAAAGACAAAGAGCATATGACATACATGAGTAACAAATGAGTAGGTCTTTATGCCATCTTAGGAAAGGTACATGCAGTATTCATCGGTCATTTACATAGAACTCATGCTTTACAAGGCGTTGTTTTCATAAATTTTCATAAACGTCTTGCCTTCCTTGTAAGGGAAAAACATGAAATAAACAAAGGCATATCAGAGCAAGTGATTTTAAAACTATTTGAGTAATATCTATACTACCCATCACAATTTTAGACTCACTTATAGCACTCACTATATGTTATGCATATAGGTGTGGTTACATCGAAGATGAATTTCTCCACTAACTTCGGGGAACCAACTGCAAACTTTATGCATATGAATTGCACGAGGATCATGCATTAAATTGCTAAAAGCATGTGCAAATATCGTGCATGTGAACAGCTGTGTTGTGGTGTGAAAGTTTGTTCAAAATTCGCCAATTTTCACTCAATTTCATAATTTTTTAACCCATGGCAATAATCTTTTCAACGTTACGAATTTGTTTTACAATACATCAGTTCATGTGTAAACAGTACCTTTAAACAGTATGGAAAGTTTTTGCAAAATCTAGTTGAGAAGAGTTGACTTAAGTAAGTGGTTATATTTACACTAGTGAGTCTAAACGTTTGTTGGGGAGTATACCATATTCGATTTCAAGGTGAACTATGCCGCATTAACGCCAGTCAACATTTACGTTTAACTTTAAAACGTTTTCATATATTTCTGTCTTTCCTTGAATGAAAACATTGCTCGTTAGGGAAAGAAAAAAAAACACCAACCACACCGATACAAACATGAGTATATCGGAGTAGATTTAACGATATTTCAGCAATATATGTTATCTACTATTTCAAGGACAACCCTGCCTGACTAACAGTATTCTACGTTCACTTTTAGCTGTTACACTGCGACTGGCCAGAGCGGAGTTTGGCGGTTTCATCCTTTGACAAAAAGACGTTATGCGCTCGGCATTAAAGGGGTAAAACAAGGGCTGTTGGTTTGTTGAGCTGGGCTCGGTACGTGTCGTAAGTTGTCGCAAAACTGGACCGGAAATTTGCATCTTCTCAAAAATAGAGTTATCGCCCTTCGGTAAAAAATATCGCTCATTCTCTTGACACGATATTCCAAGTGGCACAACGCAGCTGATTCCAGTGAGTGAGTTCAGTTCAGCAATATTCCAGCTATATGGCGGCGGTCTATAAATAATCGAGTCTGGATCACACAATCCTGTGATCAACAGCACGAACATTAATCTACGCAATTGGGATAAAAGGACAAGCATGGGCTACTGAAGACCAATTCTAGCCTGGGTTTTCACGGGTCTTATATCGTAAAGAAGTAAGCTTACCTTTCGTTATAGTGTACAAGGCGGATGGCAGCGTATATCACAGAATAAACCAGTGGCACTCCTGGAAATACACAAAACACAGTTGCTTACATTGATAGGCACCGACTGAATGGTAAATGTGTGGCAGAACTAAGGATGAAACTGTCCATTGGTCAATGCAGTTGATAGGTTTGGTTCGGTCATTTCACATAGGTTTGAAGGCAATGCACTGAAGGTGTGTATAAGTTGAGGACAGGTGAAAGTGGAATAACGTTGCGTTCATGGCTGTTTAAAATGGGGCGGTGTTGTAGCACAGTGGTTAAAGCGTTCGCTCGTCACACCGAATACTCGGGTTCGATTCATAACATAGGTACAATGTGTGAAGTCCATTTCTGGCGTCCCCCCGCCGTGATATTGCTGGAATATTGCTAAAATAGGAGTAAAACGTCCTCACTCACTCTGACGTGGTAGACATGATTCCGACCGATTAACATGTGAACTCTTGTATGGGTTCGAGTGAGTGAGTGAGTGAGTTGGGTTTTACGCCGCTTTTAGCAATATTACAGTAATATCACGGCGGGGGACACCAGAAATGGGCTTCACTCATTGTGCCCATGTGGGGAATCGAACCCGGGTCTTCGGCATGACGAGCGGACGCTTTAACCACTAGGCTACCCCACCGCCCCTTATGGTTTCAAGGGCGCCGCGAAACACCTGACTATTTCACACGCAGGAAAGAAGATTAGGTGCATAGTATATTACTTACAATCAATTTGGCATTGACGCGAACACCTGACAGAATACGATTAAATCCATCTGTCAAAATTTCTGTAAAACTGTATTTTTTATCGAAATACCGTTGTATACTTTTTCTCGTAAACGTATTTGCTATTAATCAAACTTTGCTTTTTGCTTATTTACTTTAAGTTGTTTTTTAAACAAACAAAAGCATTTTATGCTGATGTAGCAAAAAATATTCTATGACAAGTTCCTAGAGTTGACAGATTGACAAAAATCTTTACTAAGTATTTTTTTCTTCGAAAGAGCAAATGAGATGCATTTTTTCCCTAGGTTAGTCCAGGGGCCGACGCTTTCCTGTTATTTGATTGGTGTTATCAGAAAAAATGCATAGTCCATGAGAAGGTTTAAAAAGAATATATTATGCTTCAGATAGTTGGAAAATTATAGTTTGCCGTAAAAAGCATATAGTTCATTAAAAAAAAATGTTGTTCTTTTTATTATCCGGACCTGTACCAAGGTGAAATGCATTTTATTTACCGATATGTTTCAAACATTCATTGTCGACAACTAAACAGGTTGCCAGTGCCTGTTTTATATATATCGATATAGGTAATTAACACATGGTAAAAAGGATAATAAAAATATTGAAAATCGTACAAATTTGTAAAACAAAATCTTAAAACTACCACATATAATCCAGTCTACTGACTTAAAGAACTAGTACACGAAAACCGTACTGTAGAAAGTATTACTTAGTTTATGACCGTTAACAAAACGATGCTGCATCACTGTGCTGTGCAAGTAGAGCGTACTATATTAGGTAAACCTCATGAAATTACAGGGTATGCTCAGTATTCATTAATTCTGAAAGCAAGGCTCTGCTGTCCCCAACGTGTAGCCCTTCCGTGTAATCATCTCGACCCAAACTGTGTACACGAGCGGAAAATATTTACAAGCATAAACGTCGACTCTTTCCGCCACTCGTATATTTTAAGCGCCCCTTGAACACACAAAGGTTAGTGGTATAATGACCGACCTTCAAGACGGAGGCCAGTCGGACACACGCGCGCTGCGCTCGCGAGATATTAAACTACTTCCGGTGAGACACACATTCACTGCCAGGTCTTCATCACCGCTTGCCTCGGTAGGGCTTCACCTGGGTTTATTGCAGACATATTTGATAAGCAAGGACAGGGAACCATATGAACAACACATGAAGTGATGCTCCGTATTATCCATATAGGTCGAAGCGTAATTGTGTAGTCAACGTTGCAAAACATAATGAAAAACATGTTTTTGCTGCCAAGCGTTATGAAAGTTTAAGGGGCGTGGGGGTAGCCTAGTGGTTAAAACGTTCGCTCGTCACGCCAAGGACCCGGGTTCGATTCCCCACATTTGTACAATGTGTGAAGCCATTTCTGGTTTCCCCGCCGTGATATTGCTGGAATATTGCTAAAAGCGGCGTAAAACCCAACTCACTCACTATGAAAGTTTCAGAAAATGCGTAGTGTTGTCATATATTGTAGGAATGTGGATTATAATTTTGACATCTGGTAAATCAACGTGTCAAAAGTGTCCTTGAAGTAGATTTTATGGTGATAAAGTCAACTTACGTTGAGTATATATTCGCGCTGGCTAAAGGAGTCTTTGTTTAGTCAGATGAAAGTCCGTGTGAAGAAATCGACATCCCCTTCGGAGACATAATGACCACTGTCGTGAGATTTCTGGACTTGCGAACAAAGTCTGCGTTCCACCAACAGAGTTTCGGCAAATATTTTTTAAATGTTCTTGACGAAAACGCTCAAGTGATTTGATGAGGCAAGACCACTTTTATTACAAAAGAAAGTTGATTGTCGATCAGATCTTCTTGACTGAGCACCGCCATTTTGTTTGAAGCAAATACGCGTTATATTAGAGATGGAATCTTTGGTGGTCATAAAAGGGACATAACTCGTAACTGGCTGCATTGAGATCAAGCAATGAAAAACTTACTGCCAAGCTCGGCAAGATTACAATCTGGACAGTTTTTTGTCAGTGAACAGCCTAGCTCAGGTAGAGAAGATACCACAACGTATGTTTTTATCGCATTTCATGAAATATAGTATCTTCATTGTTATTCATTTTAATGACTATACAACCATTTTTAAACGATTATTTGACAATGATAAAGTTAAAGTACACATATTATCTATCAATTGCCTTATTGAAATAAACTGCGTTGTGTTGAGTATTATTTGTCACTTGTGTTTTATGTTCATTATTACAGAAATATGAAGTAGGATACGGACACCTTTTCTGGAAGACTTTGTTTCATCCCTTCCTGATGGTAGCGTAGGAAACGTACAACTCTTCTCGAAGCTATATATTACCGTACTATTGCAGATAGCCGTTACAGCACACTCACATGCACGTCGCCATACAACCACAATAACCTTCAATGATATCAAAGACCCCATTTCTCTCCACACATATACGAAGAAGAGATAAGGGCATAATTGTTTGTGTGTTTCACGTAGCCACCAAATTCTGAACACGGGTCTGTCGGTCGGGAAAAGAGGAAAAAACAACAACAACAGAAAATGATCTGAATAATGTTCTAGATTATCATTTATTGTAATTCTTATTACAATTTCGCGTGTTCTTTTTACTTGTGGCAGCGTCTGATTAAAAGAAAAACACGAGGCGGTACGTTTTAGGTTCGAGTCGGCGGAATGAAAAAATAAAGACGGGCGATGAGAAACACAAAAAATGAAATGCTGCCCTAAGAGGAGGTTTCCGTGATTCTTGTCAATGTAGGGTCCAAAACAAATATAAAAAACTACCCGTTCGATTTTCCACAAATATGATGATGTGGGAGCTTGTATTGGGTCAGTGTGGTCTTACTACAGGCAGGTTACAGTGACTATTAGGGAAGAGTTCGCACAACAGGTTCAGTAAGCCTTACCCCATCCTGTGACATAAAGAGGCATGAGATTCTTGGGCGGTGTGAAGGCGTTGCTGATCAGCCGGTGGAGATAGAAACCTTCACAGAACATCCACACGTAGTTCGTGCTTTTGAAGTAGATTCGACAGAAGGAGAGGACCTTACAGCCACTCTGACAAACAAATCACAGTAACATTATGTGGTAGTGTGAAGTTTAATAACAGTGAGTGCAATTGCTGAAGCGCTGGTAAAACGAACAAACCTGTCATGATTAAGTTTACGCAAAGGCTTACTCAGAGATGATGTCTGCCGTTAAAATATCTTTTCTGGACATTTTACCGGCGCTTCAATTTGTATCTGCCACTGACACGCACTACAAATAATTAAACACGCCCATCTCTACAGTCACATAACAACTTGAAAACATGCCTTTACAAACATTGTTGGAGGTTGTATTATATTTACATTATGTAGGTGCAAGGTGGTTCTTCTTTGACACCAAGAATGAAGTCACCAACTGTACTCCTACTCTTATACAATTGCAGGGGTGAATATTTATCTTGTTGGCCAATAACCTGCTCAATAACACACATAAGACCATCCTTTTTGGTAGTTTATAGTTGGGGCATTTTTGAAAGATATTTTCCTTATAAAATACTGGGTGGAAATAATCTGGGTTTTCGTTCCACACCCTAGTTTGTGATACGTGCCGAATGACTGAGAAAAACAGTGGAAACTAGTGACTGAAGGAGGAACAGAACTGATGCACCTGAATGGTCAGTCTATCAGCAGCCATCGACGTCACAGCTCATGTTATTCATGTATATTGGTACAACAAGGATATATATATTTTTAACAACCCAAACCGTCTAAACTAAGTGTTTCATTGCAGAGCGTGATTTATCAAGCCTGACAACTAAAACAAACCGTGCAAAACCATGGAATTTCTAAATTATTCAAAAGGTACACTTTACTTACCCCGAGTGAGTGCAATTTCTGACGCGCTGTCATGAATAAGTTTACGCAAAGGCGGATAACTCTAAATTACTCGCTGATGATGTCTGCCGTTAAAATCTCTTGTCTTGACATTTTACCGGCGCTTCAATATGTGTCTGCCACTGACAAGCACTACAGATAATTATAAACGTCAATCTCTACAGCCACATAACAACTTCTAAAGGAATACTTTGCTTACCCCGTTCCGATAGAGGAGTGTTTGGGGAATGTGTTCGTTGGTGAGGCGATCGTATGTGACGAGCATATCCCACAATATCGTCACGACATCACTGGTGACGAAAGACATGAAGAAGTTCATATGAAGACGTATTCTGTGCTGGCGTCGTAGAGACCTGAAGGACAAAGCAGAACTATAGTGCAAAATCTGAAGCAGGATCAGCTTACCTTGCGGCGCTCAGTTGTGGGGTGAAATACCGCAGACGAGTGACGCACATAGCAATAGAATAGAATAATTGTGGTGGTGAAACCAACTAGGATAAATGCAATGTAGACTAAAATATAGTCTTTGAAATGAACATATTTACAGAAAAAATTTTTTTCCTAAATTAGAATAATAAAATGTTATAAAAAGGAGCCTAGAGACTTTTTTCAATCTTGACTTGCCACATATTCTAGACTTGCATGGGCTTTCTTGGATATATTTGTTTCAGGGTCTGTATGACGGACTGAGTGCAATGCTAAGAGAGGATGGATCATGTTCAGGACGGATCTTGAATACGAACTCGATATGACACGGCTAAGGGAAGTAACTATGTACAGCAAGATGGAGAGGTTTTTTCAGCATCTGCAGTAATGTCACGATGGAGTCGAAAATGGTCTTCATATATTGTGCTAGGTTAAATTCTCAGCTGGGATTTAACTAACACTTAATCTCACACTTTGCAATATCAGGGAGAATATCAATGAAGCTCATATCGACATTTGCGACAGCCCGTCGGCAACGTCTCCATCGAAAATAGTTATTCATAAGTTCTTCTTTTCCACTTGGAGCAAAAAACATTAAGAAATATTTCTCAGCTAAATTTTCTATAAAATGTCACTGTCTGTTTTCTGATTATTGTTCCTATATTCCGTATTTTCTCAAAAAACACCGTGACACAGTGGCTTAAACTAAAATGTCGCGATATAACTGAAAGACTGCTGAAAATGGCGTGTAACCCAATTCACGCCCTCACTCATTCTTCACATAAACTCATTGCCACTTATATCTAATTGTTTTAGGAAACTAATCTCAAGAATGGGGTACGCCTTCCTAATCTAGTACAGTGGCATGGAAACCCATTTAATCTGGGCTGTACCGATTTCAGTCCAATTGTCCAAAGAAGCGTTTGCCGAATTTGAATAAGGACGTGAAGTTATCATAAAATACAATTATGTGTATTTTTACGTTCCAACATACATCGACTGGAAAAACAGGTTTTGGGACTAGTTGTGTCCAGCCTAGAAGACACTGTATTCCCCGTCTTCACTGCCGTCAATGTAGGCGTGTCCACTTACCTGTACATGAGGAAGATGCTGAAGGCAGGGACGAGGAAGAGGATGCTGGCGATGTTACAACCTAGACTCAGATAGATGGAGCTGATAAGACTCTGAAAACAAAGGGGACGTAAAACTCATAAATACAGTTTTCTGTCCATCCATCCAACCATCCATCCATCCATCCATCCAACCATCTGTATAATATAAAGCTATTGTGTACAGTGCATCCACCCCCTGTAATAAAATAGGACTGGTTGAGTTGTAAAGCCATTGTTTACAGTTTACACAACCTCTGTAAACAAAACAGAGGTGACTGAGTTGTAAATATATTGTTTACAGTTTATGCAGCATCTGATATGGGACAGTGTTGACTGAATTCTAATGATATGATTGACTGACTGACTGAGTTTGGTTTTACGCCGCTTTTAGCAATATTCCAGCAACATCACTGCGGGGGACACCAGAAATGGGCTTCACACATTGTACCCATGGGGATTCAAACCCGGGTCTTCGGCGTGACGTGCCAACGCTTTAACCATTGATATGGTTGACAGTTTACCTAGCACCTGAAATGGGAAATAGTCGACTGGGTCGTACCAACCGTTTCCGTGACATTCAGTGTTGTGTTGTTATTCATCTTTAAAAAAATTCAATTCAGAAAAAAGCAACATTTCAAAAAGCCTTATAAGAGACAGGGTTGAGAGTCATCCTAGTTTTATGCCTTGTGTCGCATATTGTACACCCACATGCTGATGGGAGTAACAGACTTACTCTCTGTTGAAGTTTTCGCTGGCTACACCGGATGAAGAATTCCATTGTCATGAAACCCCATCACCATGCATCATGTTACACACTTGACTTTAAACCAGGAAATGAATTTGTGAACATGTTATACAATACTAAAATATGACAACAGATTGAGTCGTAAAGTAATTGTGTACAGTTTCCAGAGCAGCTGAAACAAAACAGAAACAGATGAAGTCACAACACCGTCTATCTTGACATTCAGTGATGTGTTATAATAATATCTGGAAACGTTTCATGCCATTCAAAAAGTGGTTGACGATGGATGAATTTCAAATTATACTGCAAATCACTTCCGGTATTTCCAGTTCATTCTTTTTCAAGCCATCTTGCCGGGTCATCCCGACTTTATTCCTTGTGTCTGTGACGTTCCACCCACACTAGCCCGACACCGGAGGCAGCCTTATAACGTACACTCGTGAGCCAATAGGCTTCTATTCTCATGAAACCCTAATAATGTGTCTGGTATTCAAACCTGACTTTAAAACTGGAAATGAACGCAAGTATTTCAGTGTAAGTATTTGTTCGATCTGAATCAATCCTCTGCTTATTGTGAGTTACTATCAACTGGCCAGTCTCAGATTGGGTAAACTTTCTTGTCTCATTCTTGTGGAATCAACCATCATTAAGAGGAATCAGAACATATTGTTTTCTGACTGCATTGGAGATTTCATTCTATTATCCCATAAGCTCGTTTCCGTATTAGAACTCTATTACATCTTGGCTCATAGAATCAAAGTTAAAAAGCCGAATTAATTTGGTTTTGAATGTTTGTAGGTGAAAAATATGTTAAGATTTTCATTTGATACGTGTCCAAGTAATGACGAGTTTTTGTTGTTGTTTGTTTTATGCCGCACTCAGCAATATTCCAGCAATCTGTAAATACTTGAGTCTGAGCTTCGATCTACGCAATTGGGATACGATGACCTGTGTCAACCATGTCAGCGATTGCGGCCACCCAGTGCCATTAGTCGCCTCGTACGACAAGCATGGGTTGCTGGAGACCATTTCTAACCCTAATCTTCAAGGATCTCTACAGGCCAATCAGCAGCGTATTTGTTTTTACAGGTTTCTTTTCGACAGATAATCTTCACAGAATAAACACCAAAATACACTTCGTCCCAAAAGATGTTTTTCTCGATTAATTTAAAAATTAATGTTATTAAGTGATGTTCTATCAAGAGGAACCTATTTCGACCCAAAACATGTGACCCTTTTTATGACACTTGTTTCCTGTGAAAGTGATGGTGTTACTACATGTATGAATAGTAAAAACACCAATTATAAAAACAAGTTGTTTTTGTTTTGTTTTTTTGTTGTATGTTTGTTTCTCAATTGGAAATATTTAGTGATGGAAATCCAAAGCAACTTCTCAATCCCAGAATTAATGAATAACATTTCCCTGTTCGATTTTAAACTTAAAGTGATTTTTTCACACCAGAAATCTTTTCAGATACCGAGCATGCTTGATCTCACAGATCTTCTTGGCCTGAACAATTACAAAAGACAGCAACAGAAGATGTTTGTGTTTCCTATAAATGTCGAATGACCTGCAAAAATTGTGATTTTTATTACTGTAGCAGCAACGAATAAAATGTCATCTTTTGAGATCACGAGATGTGCCAAATAAGCCATTCATCATTTATTTAGCTGACTGATAATCTTACCGACTGATTGCAAAGTTGCAAATCGAAAAGTGAAGAAAGATCTTCCATTCCCCACTAATTAGAGTTTTCTTTATTTCCTTCATCAACTATAATTACAGGGAAATGTTCTCTAAAGTTTACCAAACTGACCTATCACCGACTTGAACAACATAACCAATAAAAACCAGGTTCACTGAAAAAGGATTATGTAAGACCACATCCTTATCTGAAGATCTACGATTTTCCGTAATCACTATGATAAATCCGAAAGCAAATCAAACTAGCTTATTATCAATATTTGAAGTCTACGGAGTTGGAGAGGCG